CCGATGAGCATCTCCACATCTGCGTCGATTTGTGGTAGCTGTATTTCTTTTCGCAGATATGGCCATCTTTCCAAGTCTTTCTCTACAGGGACATTGTCCTTTGTTACAGGTATGTCCGTGTGGGTGTAGACATCTGGCAGGCTTATGTACTTGTTTTCTGTCAGACCACACACTTCTAGATCTGAGAGCACGAAGCAGGACACAGGCTTCTCCTGGCCCATAGTACGGAGTAGCACCTGGGTTTTTTTACCATGGACGCCAAGCCGTCTCATCAATTTTTCCGAGCAAAATGTGGCAGAACTTCCTGAATCCATAAATGCATATGTCTCTACTGTCGTGTTGCTCTTCTTGGATTTGATGCGCACAGGCACGATGGAAAGGATGCAATCGCTGCCTCCGGCCCCGGTGACTGTTGTGAGTTCACTCTTGGCTGACACATGTTCTTGTGGAATTGAGTGTCCACTGATGGAGCCTTGACTTTTCTCAGGCTCGGCATGGGCCTGGTCGACATTGACTTCTCTTTTGCTGTGAAGCAGACTTGGGTGTTTCTTGCTGCAGATTTCACATATAGCTCTCTTTTTGCAGTCCTTTCCTACATGTCCTTGCGTTAAACACCCAAAACAAAGTCCTTTTCCTTTAAGGAAGTCAATTTTCTCCTTATTTGGCAGACCTCTTATTTTGTTACATGCACTCAGAGCGTGTCCTTTATTGCAGTACAGGCATGGCTCTTGAAATGCATTGCTTGTTTGCTTGTTCTTTCTTGATTCTGAGGCATCGTCATCTAGTGCAACACTTGTAGCACAGCCAGTGGTTCTTTTCAGTCGACCCATCGCAGGTTTAACGCTTACCTTGCTCCTTTCTTTTGCTTCGGAGGATTCTTTGACATCGCCGAACAGTGGGTCTAAAGCTATCTTGGCTTGTCTGTTGATATACATCACGAGATCGGAGAACTTTGCTCTTCTTCCTTCGTGTTCTTGTATGTCAAAGGCTATGACTCTCCATCTTTCGCGAAGTCTAAAGGGCAATTTGTGGACAACAATTCGAAGGTTGCTCGGGCTGTTCATCTCCTCAAGGTACTCCAAATCCTTCATGACGTTGTTGCATCTGGTGAGAAATATGGAGAAACTGTGAAGTGACTTTGGCATCTTCTACTTTGATTGGAGGCCATTTGACAGCCTTGTCCACATATGCCGCGGCTATTTTCTGCTCATTGCCGTAGTGATAGGTCAAGAGCTTTCTCGCTTCATTGTAGCCTTGTTGTGCACTCATGTGTTGGCAACTTCTAACCAGTTCTCTTGGTTCACCAAGGGTGAATTGCTCTAGATAGTACAAACGATCAGCGTCGTTGTCTGTACGGCTGTGAATAATGTGCTCAAAGGCCCTCAGGAATGGCAGGAACTCAAGAGGATCACCACTGAATTCAGGGACCTTTTGTTGAGGCAGGTTGGCTAGTCTCTGTTGTGTGACCAACATCTCTGTGATATCCTTCTGTTTCAATATCACTTCGCCGAGTTCGACTTGCCTTCCATTGGAACTTGTGTTTGCGTTATCGTCATTTTCATTCTTTACTTGCACATAGGAGGTGTGTCTAGTTGGACCTTGAAATGCACTGCAGTCTTGGATAACTCGAGGACAGCTGGTCAATTTTGGTTTGACACCTGGAGCATAATGTTCGATGGTTGCTGTTGTATGCATGTTTTTGTTGAGGTAGGAATTCATGCCGTCGTCCATGTTTTCTGTGTCATCATATTCTTCCAAAACTTGTATCTTTGCTGTGGACTCTGTGATAGCAGTTTCAACATCCAGCTCCTCCATTTGAGCCTTCAAATGAATCTTCTTGGCTTTCAGTTGTGCTTCCATTTGAGCCTCTTCCAACTGCAGTGCCTCTTTTTTCTTAAGTGTGGCTGCACGCGCAAGTAGGGCTGCACGGTGAGCTTCCTCCCTTTTACGCAGGGATGAAGCATGAGATGATGCACTGGATGACTTTGTGAGTCTACTGCATACGCTTCGTGGTGGGACTGAACCATAATTTTGTTGTACCGTGGATAGACTGTCATCTGGATTCACCTCTTCAGCGGCCTTGGCTCGCTGTCTTCCATTTATTATCCACTGCTCCAGTGTGGTCAAAAGAGTCTCATACTTTGTAAGATTTGGCTCACTCCAATACTGCTGGTCAGCTTTCCTTTCTTCATCTGATAACAGTTCACTAACTGCATTGTTTACTTCAATAAACTCATTTAGGAGTTTTGAGTAATCACAGAGATGATCTTGTTCTACTATAAGCGCATTGGAATCATTTTTCATGAGGTCTTTTATTTCTTCAGCTTTGGAGACAAGGCGTGCTAAGACACGTTTTCTGAGGTTCATTTGTTTATCAAGTTTCTCTTCTAGGGCCTTTACAGTCAACTTTATCTTTCTTTTTATTTCTAAATCAACATTTCCCTCCATCTTGTTTTCATCCACAGACATTTGGCTATTAATGATAGGTAAGTCTCTTCTTACAGCAAACTCTTGCAAACTTCTGAAATCTGGATCAGCAGTCCTTTAATTTTAAAACATATAGTTTTCCAAAGTAAAATTTCAGGGCTGACTTTATTTCCAGAGGCAAACTCGAGCTTCCTTTGGGCTGATATGACTAGCTAACAATAGCGCCCTCTTTGTTCTGTGTGGCTAACTGCGGAGCTTAACGTTTGCGTGTTGACTTGGTCGCGTTACTTGGCTACGGTAATTACAATGAAGTAATCGTCGTCATTTGCCATTAGTTGCGAGATCCAGATTATTTTTTGTGTACTCATCCTTCATCGCTGAAGTCGTCTGGGAATCCGATGGGGTTGGCATCGCGCAAATCCTCTTCAGCTAGCCATCCCGTTCTCAACTCCCAGCGCTGCGCAACTTCCCTCGGATACCGGTGATCTTCTCTCGCCCTTGGCGATTGTTTTTCTACTTAATGTAGTGGTTAAATTTGCTCTCTGATGTTCCGTGAATTCTCTTCTTGCATATTCATGAAACCAACCACTTCCAGACGGAAAGAACGAGTCTACTCGTGTTTAGGTTTCAACGACGGTAGAAAAACAGTGTTCGCCCCGTCTTTTAATGAAGTTCTCACATAAACAAAACAGCAATGGCTTTCTCCACATACATACGTGAACTCAAAGCGCCAGCTCCCATTGGCTACACATCCGGAAATTCGAAACTAATCAATCTGAACCAATTCAAACTAAATTAAAATTATCTCATATGCAAATTATCAAACATAGTACAGCAATGTAACCCTAAATTTAGTTGCAACAAGCAGTCACTTCATATAACACAAATTACAATATTAATTTGAATCTGAACCAAAAAGGAGCCTAAATTACAACATAGAAAATGGCACCAACAAAGCCTTTAATATCCTCTTTTCAATAGCTCCATCTTGTGGTTGTAGGCAAACATAAGCCTATGTACAAGAAGCAGTGCCAAGATCATTCTTTTTATTTGCATAACACTGCATCTGATAAATCATATCAAAAAGTTTTGCAAATAAATATGGTGGATCATTGCATTTTATTCCTTTTCAAAAGCTTCAAGACCGGCAGCACTTTGTGGAAAATGACGACATGTATTCACTACAAGATCTGATCGACATTTCCAGTGGCCGCCTCAGCTGTTCTCTCACAGAGATTCATACCACATTTGCAAAGCACATTAAATTAGACTGTGAGGTTGGTGCACACTACGTTTCTTACCTCTGTTTCAGATTATGTCTTTCCAACACTACTTTTACTGAATCTTGTGTGCAGAAATGTCAAGCCAAAGGATTTGTGTGTGAATTGTGCAAAGAGGGAGACATCCTGTTCCCTTTTGACAGCCACACTTCAGTCTGCCAGGACTGCTCTGCTGTCTTTCACAGGTGAGTTTTCATGTCATGGAAAACACTATTTTTGAGTGTGATATTTTCATTAACGTCTCCTTGGAGCTAGTGTGTTGTAGTAGATATTGTTTGGCTTGTATCTCTTTAGGGACTGTTATTATGACAACTCTACAACTTGCCCAAGATGTACCCGGATGACAGGGCGCAAACAGGATGAGCCGCTGGACATGCAAACTACATAGTAATGAAAATAATACTACCTGTTGCACTTAGTTATATTTTATTTCTTTTAGAACACCAAGTGTTAATGCAGATATGTTTAATTCATTCTGTATTTAATTCATTAATTCTGTTTGTGCACTGTGTACGGATTGTACAGGGTATCCATCTAATCAGATTCCCATTTAATTTAATTCAGACTGAAAGGTGACAAACTGAACTTTTGTTTAAGTGTGTGAAGGAAAGTTTTCCAAGCTGTACTTTATTGCATGAAGTTATTATACAACTAGTTCATACAAACCATTATCTGCCTCAAACATGTTTTATTGCTACATTATAAAGAAGCCTCAAAATTAAGTTGATAAAATACATTTTTGATACACTAATCTAATCACTCACTTGGTTTACCCCTTCCCCCGTTTTTTTTAACTAGGTGTTTTGTTAGTTTATCCAGAAATGTTATATTAATACATTCCTTGTGCATCTTAAAACAAATTTGAAGCGACGTGAAATAAGACTCCCCTCATTAATATTACAAGGTAGAAATTGAAATTGTCAGAATGTAATAAATAATAAATAAGTAGGTAAAGCTGCATTTGGGCTATTTCCCAAGTAAATAAATAGTCATCACAATTTAAACTGCCAGTATCAACATCAAAAACTACCTACTTTTGTGTTTGTCAGTCCATATTATCAGCATATTCGCCATAAAAAAAAATCGGGATATTTTCTTAAAATTAAGCATTTTCTCTGAGGGTATGGTATACTATGCATTGTTGTTAAGCAATTTACATAAGCCTATGTAACTTTCAAACTAGGGGTGAAAACAAACTAAATTACGAAATGTACGTTGTTGTCCAGTATTGCACGAATAAAGTATTAAGAGTCAGACTTTGTTTTTTTTGTTTTGTTTTTTTTTCGTCAAACTCTCGCGATAGATTTTCAACGTGACCAATGTAACAACTGTCAACTGGCTACAAGACAAACTCCATCATAGTTGATGCAGAAGGATCGAAGCTCTGTGAACGATGGGGCTGTTGTCTATAGGCATAGGGCCCCTTCGGAACCGAGCCGGGACAGTCCGGACCTGGAGCCGAGATTTCTCTACTATTTCTGCAACACACAATCGTGCAGCCGCAGCTTTGGTAGGCAACGAATGCATTGCATTGCCAGTCTAGAAAGTGTTTTGGATACCAGTAACACTGCTATTGCGAACAGTGGGTCATGTAGCCTTATTGTTATGATAGTTTACTATTTGAAACTGTGTAATAGATAGGCGGTAATAACAGCTGGGTGCACAGTCTGCCCTATACATTACATGAAGGAGTCACGCCGCCGTGGGAAAAAAGTACACTGTGTTCTTCAATGCACACGCACATCCCAGAGATGTTTATATACAGAGGTTGTTTGTAGTTGTTTGTTTATAGTTACGCATGTTGCTCTGATAATTACAGTGTTCTTGAAGTGTTTCCTTGGTTCAGAGGGGTGTGTCTGTTTAAAGAAGCGTGCACGGTGCTTGGTGAGGATCTTCCTTTGTGTAACAATAAATGTTATAAGCCTAGTCATTCTATGGATGCTATAGGGTTCTCCTCAATGCCATCCAGATATAGACAGAAGGTTGATTAGCCTACTTTTTGATTTGAATTGTATTTTTAACATTTTATTTGACCGTAACAATACGTTGTGGTTGTGATTTTGTGCACATTATTCTGCCTGCTTTAGCAGTATATTACATTGTTCTTTCAGAAGGTGTCCTGTATCAAGAAGAAATATGGAGGATTTTACCAACTTGGTATTCCCCTCACTAGGTCACTTAGTGCAAACAAACCACCAAGAGGTAATCTTTCCATATTATTTTAAGATTTTTATGTATTTAATATTTTGGTCCTTACCATTTTCATTGATAGGTTTTGAGAAATTCTTCCCAAAGAATCAAGAAATCAACAAATCTGTTGAAAGTGAGTTATATGTTGACTTTGATTCAAGTTCAGTATTTCATTTTCTGTGCCAAAATAATTTTGCTTTGTTAAATATTTAGAAGAACAAGTAAAAGATCAAGAGTCATTTGAAAAAGAAAATGAAGATGACACTGAAAACCAAAACAATCATAAAGAAAGAAAAAACAAACAGTCGGACTGGTGGACACGTTTTCAGGTAGATTTTGTACCAGTAGCCTATATCATGGAGTTCATCAGGTAAATTCAGCTTTTGAAGGTCTTTGTTTGCTGTTCAACAGGAGGAGTGGTCCTTTAATGACAAAATATATTTGAATGTTGCTGTTGCTGCTGCTGGAGTCTCTTCTGCTGTATTGTACTTTTACTTCCGTGAGACTGGGGTCCATATTTCCTGGAAAGACTTTGTGGACCATTACTTATGCAAAGGCTTGGTAACGACTGATCTTTGCTATGTCCACTTCACAAATACAGCACACATAATACTGTGCCAATTGCAGGTGGATCACCTGGAGGTCATCAACAAACAGTATGTCAGAGTAATTCCTGTCAGTGGAGTTGACACTTCACAAGTGGTTAGTGTTTGACATAAACTTAAAAAGAAGATAATGATACATATGAATATATGTGAATTATATTGGTTGTGTTTTAGAATTACTTGTGGTTCAACATTGGCAGTGTGGACTCCTTTGAACATAATTTGAAGGTGACTCAGCAGGAAACAGATTTAGAGTGTACCAAAGTCCCTGTGATCTACTGCAGTGAAACTGATGGGTAACCATTTGGACTTAATATAAATAGCTTGTATACAGAATAGCCCCTTGTTTAAATTGACTTCTCTTTTTTTTCAACAGGAGCATTCTGTTAAACCTCCTCTCCCCTTTACTGTTGATTGGGTTTTTACTTTTTGCCACACGTCACGGTCCTCTGTCAGGACGGAACCTTGGTGGACAAGGCAGGAGTGTTTTTGACATGAGTGAATCTAAAGCAAAGTTATTAAAACACAATGTTGGTGTGAAGTTCAAAGATGTGGCTGGGTGTGATGAAGCTAAATTGGAAATTATGGAGTTTGTTAATTTCCTGAAGAACCCAAAGAAATACAGAGACCTTGGAGCTAAAATTCCAAAGGTTTGTCATGATTACACTGCATATAGTTTATACATTTAATTAACCTTCATAAGATGCTATTAAACTCGGTTGTTAGGTCATTTGTTGCCATTTTTTGCATTAGGGCGCTCTGTTATCGGGACCTCCTGGGACAGGGAAGACACTGTTGGCCAAAGCCACTGCAGGAGAAGCTGATGTCCCGTTTATTTCTGTAAACGGCTCTGAATTCCAGGAAATGTTTGTTGGTGTGGGCTCTGCCAGAGTAAGCTCCACAGTCATCTGCGTTTTATATCATATTCATACAAATTTAATACAGTACATTATTTGTTTTTTATTCAATTTAATTTAAATCATTATATTGTCATTATGAAGCAGACAACAAAAGTGAGATAAAAACATGCTATATTAAATGTGATCTTATTTTCTGTTGACTGTTAGGTGAGAGATATGTTTGCCCTGGCACGGAGACATGCCCCTTGTATCCTGTTTATTGATGAGATTGATGCTCTGGGTAGAAAGAGAGGAAATGGTAACTTTAGCTCCCACAGTGAACAGGAGAACACACTCAACCAGCTACTTGTAGAGATGGATGGTAACTTTTTCAGTTTTCTTTGTGGTGCATTAAGACATCATCAATCATTAGTAACTGTACTCTCTTTTTTAAATAGGTTTTAATAGCAACACAAATGTGATAGTTTTAGCTGGAACCAATCGAGCTGATATCCTCGATCCAGCTTTGCTGAGGCCTGGCCGCTTTGATCGTCACATACATCTAGGTTGAAAATATTTATACAAATGTTTTTGTAATTTTAATGTTTTTATTCTATTATTTTATCATTTTATTGTGTACTTCTTGTCTAACTAACATCAAGCAACAAATGCGTTTATTTTACTCAAGTGCAGCTACTTTATACTTAATTTCTGTTGTCACAAACTGCTACTTTAGTCTTAAAATATTGGTGTTAATTTTATTAATCCTTGCATGACAAGAATGTTCCTCTTTGAACTGGGAACTATTAATTAAAAAACATATACATATACTTTTTTCCACAGGACTACCAGATGTTAAAGGCAGGGCGTCCATTTTTAAGGTGCATCTAAAACAGCTGAAGTTGAACTCCTGTATAAAACTTGAACTTTTAACTCGAAAACTTGCTGAACTAACCCCAGGATTCACTGGTTAGTGTGTTAATGTGTCTTGTTTCTGAGTGTTTTTTTTGTTTTATCTGTGGCATTTGCTGTGCTTGAAAGTTATTATTCCCATGTTCCAGGGGCTGATATTGCTAATGTATGCAACGAAGCTGCTTTAATTGCAGCACGTCATCTGAATCCACATGTTGACTCTAAGCACTTTGAACAGGCAGTGGAGAGGATAATTGGAGGTATATTAACTTTTGAAATAAACCTGAAATACAAATTGCTATATAATCCTATGTTTTGTTTCTCCCAGGTCTCGAAAAAAAGTCCCACACTCTGCAGCTTGCAGAGAGGACCATAGTTGCCTATCATGAGGCTGGGCATGCGGTCACTGGTTGGTTTTTAGAACATGCAGACCCTCTTCTGAAGGTGCAGCCTTTTTCATCACCACTTTTTGTTGATTTTCCACTCTAAATAAATTCTTAAAAAGGTCTCCATGTTCTGCATTCAGGTATCCATTGTCCCCAGGGGCAAAGGCTTAGGTTATGCCCAGTATTTACCTAAAGAACAGTATTTGTTCAGTCAAGAACAACTGTTCGACCGAATGTGCATGACCTTAGGAGGTCGAGTGGCTGAGGAGGTTTTCTTTAAACGCATCACCACAGGGGCTCAGGATGACCTCAGAAAGGTCACACAATCTGCTTATGCACAGGTAGGCCCACTGTATTTGAGATTTGAGTATGTAAGATATAATGTATAATCTTAAATTAACATTCTACTTTGTTGTCGTCTATATTTTAGGTTGTACAACTGGGAATGAGTGAGGCATTTGGTCAGATGTCATTTGACCTACCTCAGCTTGGAGACATAGTTACAGAGAAGCCTTTCAGTGAGCCCACAGCCCAACTCATAGACCAGGAGGTTCGTGCACTTGTAGCTGCTGCCTACCAGCGCACCCTGAAGCTTGTTACTGAAAAGAAACAAGCTGTCGACATGGTGAGCAATGTTCAATATTCAAAACAGAGCTGGGATAGATAAATGAAGAAAACTAATCTAAAGTGTACCCTAATCTTGAACCTGTTATTTGATATAGGTGGCCAAACGTCTCCTTAAAAAAGAATCATTGCAGAAATCGGACATGGTTGAGCTGTTGGGTCCCCGTCCATTTAACAAACCATCAGTGTACGAAGAGTTATTAGAAGACAAGAGTAAACATGAAGTGGACATGAAGTTGCCGCCTGTTAGTTTAAAAACTATAGAGACGGAAAGAACAGACCACTTCTGTGATGAGACAATTTGGACACACTAATGTCTTGTCAAACTGTCTGACAGCTTGACCTGATCCATGACTTATCTGATCTATACTGATAACCAATGCAGTGGTTTGACAGGTGAGAATCACCTTGAATTGTGCAATTTAAGATTTTACATTTATGATAAAAATCTGAATCAAACTATTTTACACAGCTGCCAATAGCTGTTTTCTTTTTTTATAACACCTTTTAAAATGATATTGATACAAAGATGTTGAAAACAAATTTTCACATCAAATTGTTCCAGCCTGGAAACAGGTCCCTAAACTGGCAGTGACACATATTTTAAGTATCTCTAAGATACACATGTTCTCTGATCAATTTCATAGTTAATGAATATGAATATAGGAAGATGAGGGTGTTTACTGTAAGATATGGTGACTTTTTTGTGTTATAAATTAAATCACATAGTTTTTAAGATGTTTATTTACCCTTCACATTTTCCAGTGTTGATCTTTATAGCATATCAGCTATATCTGCCTCAGAATTATTGGCATTGATGATTAAACTAAATTGCAAATTTGGCACTTAATTAATTTTTTTGGCATTCTTATAATTCTCTCTATAGTGCAAGTTAAAATTAGAAACTTTTTTTCACACATTTTTTACAGTTTCCTTTAGCCAGTTACATGAATGTATAAATAACTTCATAATCAACTGTAGTTTTGTTTCTTCATCTCAAAATGCCAATAATCCTAAAGTATTTGTAACATGTATCTTAGAGAAGTGCAGTATGCTTTTAAAATTTACAGTACTGTAGTGTACTCTGACATCTACAGGGTGTGACAGAAATAAGTTTTGATAAGATGCGTTTAATTGGATAGTTGTGTGCATGTCAGTGTTGTAGTGTGTTTACAGTATTTCTGTATTGCATTTGCCTGGAATTAACATCATACCCTGCCATAGCGGAAAAATATGAAAACCCTCAGTCAGACAACACTCACTCACCAAAACAAATGAAAAAATGTTAAAAGAAATTATAAGTAAGTAGTATTGCACATCTCATTGAGTCATAGCAATGAGTTCAGAGTTCAGTCTGAACTGGCCCAGCACCAGGACACTTGTGTGGTCCGTTTGTCTCTCCGCTGTCCAATTGTTTAGATTTTCAGGGCTGTTTGGACCTCTCTAGTTTCATTACGGGCTCCATGGTGTCCGAGTCGCTGTGGTGTTTCCTCTCTCTCTGCGTCTCTGCTTTACTGCTGCGTGTCCACGAGGGGGAGCGCATGTAGCCAGTCTTCTGCAGCCCAGGCTGCTGGGAACCTGGAAAGACAGACAAACAAACACCATGCAAATATGAAATCAAATGTATGCAGTTAATCTGTCTTGAACAATGCATCACAGAAATAACCCAAAGAGAACAAGATGCATGCAAAACTGTTTTGATGACTTGCGCTGCCTAACTTTAATTTATAAGAGTTTATAAACTCTAATAAATGGTGAATGGTTATATTGCGATGGCAGGTTTGTTTACGCAAGTGAAAGATAATTTCTCTATTTATATGTGACATAATATAAGGTTACGACTTACTTCCCATTGTTACCATAGATATAACACTATCTTTAGAACCGAAGTATTGCTTACAAGAAGAATAAATCGAATTAGCTTAATATATAACCAGTTTATGCTGGCATTACTTTCTTGGCCACATTGTGGTGATGTGCAACCACACAAAGAAACCTACGAACAATTAAGGGCTGACAACAGCTGTTCACAACTTATATTTGTGAAATGGAGACTTTAAAATGAAAATGGTGTTATGCTTTATACCATTTATAAAATGTTTATTAAAAAGCTGTAGATGTGGTTTAGTTTTAGTTTTCAATCAAGATTTAACTGGCTTGACTTTTAAGTGATTTTAGTGGTCATTTGTGTTGCATATAAAAATAAGTGAAGCAGATAAAAGACCAGCTTCTCCACAAATGTGTTTCTCGCTCGTCCTTCTGTTCAGTTCACTGCAGAGTCTCTGAGCTGTAGTGTCAGTGTGAGCTCCTTCTGTGCTGCTGGCATACAGCCATTCCACTCACCAGTCTGTGGCCTTTCCTGCATAATAATACAACTCTTAAAAGCACAAAAAGTAGACTCTAACATACATATGTTTTAGAAGCGTATATGTCAAGCCTTGAAATTCGATGGTGTATTGGAAACTGTTGGAGCTTTAGCTCTTTAATAATTATACTTTGAATGTAATACTAAAAACTAAAAATGAATATATGTACAAAAATCAATCAAATCAATCAAAACCTTTTATTTAAAATCTTTCTTCATCTATCTCCAATTATGACAATTGAAACACCAGTTTATTTTGTCTTCTATGTACTTTAACTCCTTGGATTCTTTTTTAACGACAATACAGTAAAGTGTATTTACCTTGTTGACATGTTTCGGCAGCTAGTTGCAAGCCATCTTCAGAACTGTCACCGGTGTTGGTGGTGACATGTTGTATATCAGCTGTTGTTACTTCCTGTAGGCCAGTGTTCTCTGGAGAAGGGTGTCCCAGGTGTGTGAAAGGAGGAATGCTCCATAATTACGGTTAATGCTGTCCATGCCTCGTTTCCTGATTTCAGTGGCCTCCCCGATCCAGTGTTTGAACGTATTGTTTTCCAATTCAATGACCAATGATTAGAGGCATAACTGAGCCATGAAAAGACATAACATAAGCACTGTAGTCAAACCATACGCAAAACTCCGCCAACAGCTAATACACCCCAAAGATAAAATCCCACAAGAACAAAAATGCAACACCATATACGAAATCCAATGCAAATCATGTAATAAATCATACATGGGGTAACGGTTGGGCATTCCACATTTGAAAAAAGGAACACCAAAAGGAATGTGAAACGGAAACATCAGAGAGACTCACCAGAACACAAAAAGGCAAAGCAAAACAGGAACACCTAAAATCCGCCATATCAGACCATTGTAAAAGAAATAACCACATTATGGATTGGGACAGGGCTCGGGTCATTGGATCAGAAAACAAGTTCAAACGCTGGATTAGGAAGGCCACTGAAATCAGAAAAAGAGGCACGGACAGCATTAATTGTGATGACGGAGCGTTCCTCTTTTCACACACCTGGGACACCCTTCTCCAGAGAACACTGGCCGACAGGAGGCATGGTCAGTCTGAGCGACCTGCCAGGTCCAACAGGCTGACCACGCCTACAGGAAGTAACAACAGCTGATATATACGACATGTCACCATCAACCCCAGTGCCAGTTCTGAAGATGGCTTGCAGCTAGCAGCCGAAACATGTCAACAAGGTAAATACACTTTACTGTATTGTCTTTAAAAAGAACCCAAGAAGTTACAGTTCCACCAGTGTTTGTCTTGTTTAATAATGTTTGACAGTCATTGAGAGCAGCGCATACCTGCCTCTCACCTATACAGTCCTCATCTCTCTATAAACCCTGCATTACCATATAAAGGTCCTGTTAAAAAGAGCATGTGCTGTAATGTTAATGTCACTTGTATAGCAGAAGAAACACTGACAGTGCCGATATCCCATTAGAGCAAACATCATGTAGATACATACATAGATATAGACTCATTTCCTAATCCTTACACTGAATCTTTTAGCCTTCTGACACCAAATACACTATGTTGGCCCTTCTTCCAGGTGCATATGAGCAGTTAACTTTCCGCATACAGAACTAGCTCAGCTTCTGTTTCATAAATAAAACATTAGGGAAATTTTGCTTCCGATTGCAATTTTAAAGAAATGGCAGAAGTGTGTGTTAGCCAATATATAGTGTGCTCATATGAATACTAATAGTATGTCTCACCTGTTTGATATTCACACAGCATCAACTGGCATTGGTGTAATGAAATAAATGCAGTGCAACATTTACATACTGTACATTTCCAAACATAATCTATGTAATTACTCACTGTTAAGACACGTTTTTGAAAATAATAAAGTTGTAGGAATGTACATTTACACTTTATAGCATGAAACCCTAAAACCCTAAAAGCCCATAACACAATCAAATTAGCTCATAACATGTTAATTATTATTATTATTATTATTATTATTATTATTATTATTATTATTATTATAGGCAACAAACAAACTTTCTCCTCTAGTTTGTGACTAACCTGCTGAGGACTCATTGTGGTTCTCTTCATCAGAATCGACGAAAACCTCTGCTAGCTCCTGGTCGGACATGTCCGTCAACTCTGTCAGATCCAAGAGGTCAAAGTGGACCTCCAACGAAGACACACTGCTCAAGGGCTCTGGAGACACACACAGACAAATACATATTTGGAGTAAGCTCATTAGAGTGTGTATTACTTCTTTTCAGCAAGACAGTGCTATAGCATCTTTTTCTATATCAGCATCCTTTAGGATTACATGTGACCTAAAAACCTAATCGGTTGATTCTGTGTGAGGGACAATTTCTATTTATCAAATGTGTTAAAAGTCCAAACCATGTTGTTGTTGTTAAACAATTAGAAGCTGTTGATGCTGCGTGATTTCAATATAAAACTCTACAGTACTTGTCTGCATGGAACACCATCTGTGCATCTTTTGTGAATGACATTATAAAACAATATTTTTATTAAATATAATTTATAATATTTTGTATGATTTTCAAAGGCACACTAAGTGAGATGGGCTTGTGTGACAAACCAATCCAAGCCAGCGATGTTGAGGAAGCATTCACTGTATACTTCAACACAGAGTGGAACCATAAAGCAAATGCAAAAACACAGCAGTTTACCAGAGTAGCATGTATGCTACTCACACAAGAAGTCCTGTGGGACATGTGCGTGACCCATCTCACCTCTGTTTTGTCCATGGGACTCTGCTAAGCTGCAGGATTCAGTTAGCCTCTGTTGTCCTGTGCACATTTGACATTCATAAATATTTACTAAGCCCTTGACCTTCTTGCCCATATAATTAGATTGAACTGGCATTACACTCCAATATTAGCTGTGCTTAGAGGTGAAGAGGTTTGAACAATGGAGGGTTAATTATGTATAAATTCATCCTAGGGCTGGGAGATTTTACCTGAAAAATAAAGTTGTGGATTTTTTTCCTCAAAAAATTGGATTTTCAATTGGATTTTCGATTTTTTCCCCTTTCCCCCTAAAAATGTTCTGCAAACTACAGAAACCTGTCAATTATCATACTTAACCCATTGGCCATTGGGGGAAATCTATCTTTATTTTATAACAAACAAATCATAACAGTTTTGCAGCTGCATTTAAACATGTGGCTGATGTGTGGCAAAAGATGTGATTGGCACTTTCACATCATTTCATTTAACGCCACCGATTTCAGAGCTGGTCCTGTGCTAAACTCCTTTGCTTTGCTTTTCTCTGTGAGGCACAAACACACAAAAAGGAAGAGCACATCACTTCTAAAGTTGTGCTCCCTGTGAGGGCAGTGAGTCTTTCCCACATTTCCAAAACCATTTCCAATGTAAGAAAAAGCGGGAAATCAATTTCATTATAAAGAAATTCGAAACTCACATTCGATTAATCAATTTAATCATTTTTTCTAATTTATCCAACCCCTTGTAATATATAGACATGAGCTATACAAATGCAATTGGGCTACAATTTTATGGTTTTCCATGTGCATTCCAGAGTGTATGTAAAAAACACTCCTCCACTGCTCTGACTCCAAAAATGCATAGAAACAGCATGACATAAACACTAAGGATGTGTAGAAATGTAAATCTCTAAATAAGAAATAAGAACAATATTTAATTTGAACAGGGTAACAGACAGCTCGTCATTGCAGACAGTTCATCACCTTAACTTCTTCCTTCTCAAAAAACAAAACAAACAAAAAACAGTTGTTTTATGCATGTTTGTGTGATCCTATTTGTGTTGTCTCCCTCTCTTGTTTGGTTAGTTTAACTGTTTGCTATATTTATATAATGTACACCATATATTATGTAGCTAGAGGAAGGGCAAAAGTGCAGAGAAACATGAAAGGACTGAAGATGCAGAGAATGCTTAAATTAGGCAGTTGGCTCCAGCTGTATTCTACCCCACTTTTCACAGGCTTGTTTAAATTTCATACATTGTCATAGGCAACCTTTTTGCTGTGCTGGTTTTAGTATCCCACCCCCCTTCTTTTCTCTTCATCCATACTCTTCTTCTTTTGAATAATTGATCAAGTCTTTTTCCCTCGCAAAGGCAGACTGAGTGAAACAATGGCAAATCCAATAAATGGAGCTTAAAATGCCTGCATATGTTGGGGAGTTGACTTAAGATCTCATAGCAGTAAAATCACATAAAAAAGGCTTTCTGTGTGTTAGTTTGTAAGGATATTAATAATTAGGTAAGTTCAGTGACAATGCCCCCCCTGATTTTTAAAGCTCTTTTTGAGGGAAATTTGTGTTCATATTGTCATTTCTGCATTGTTAAGAATAGCATAGACTTGCTTCCGTGTCAGGTTGAAGATGAAGTACTGCTTAATTTGTCCTGAAGTGCTCGGTAAAAATATAAGGCTGCCTTGTTGCCCATGTTACTGGTGTCTCTTGTGTCAGGGTTGTGTTGGCCTATACAAGCAGCTCTCTGTAGGGGACTTAACACAATCAGGTCTTTGAGCACTGTGGTTGCTGAGAGAATTAACAGACAAAATCAAGATCGATGCTTTGGATGTTGTGGCATGCAGTAAAACTTGAGTGTGTGGACTTTTATAACTTACCCCAAAACTGCTCTTTTTACTATACATTTCAGCCTCATATAACAGATGTTTTACTTTAAGGCATGTGGAGTATTTATACTGTTTCTCTGGGCCTTACCCCGGTACTCGCGTCTCCTCTCAGTGATGTGCAGAAGGCTGGCAGCAGTGTGCCCTGACAGAGCTCCTTCCTCTTCAGCCGCAGGGGGCTGGAACAGATCCCTGGAGAGGTCTCCGGAGCTGGAGGGCTTCAACAGCTTCTGGATGTCTTTGTTTGGCTCTGTAAAAAATTGTAAACATAGATTATTACATTCAAAAAGCCATCTAACTTATTCTTAACTTATTCACATATTCTTTTTAGAGAAAGACAATCTAAGACTTGATGTATGCTTAGTTTTAAGGCATGATTATAGGCAGGAAATAAATGTGTCCAAACAGTAGCCAGACCCTCTTGTCAAAGCCTGATCTCGTCAGATTCAAACGCTAAGTAGGGCTGGGGCTGGTTAGTACTTGGATGGGAAACCACTGGGAATATCAGGTGCCACAGTGTGGCTTCAGTGTCAAAACTGTTGCTGTGTCCTTAGGCAAGACACTTCAGCCATATTGCCAAGTATGAATGTAGTGTGTGAGTGTTGATGGTGATCCGAAGGGCCAATGGCACCGATTGGCTTCCATCAGTCTGCCCCAGGGTAGTTGTGGCTACCATAGTAACTTACTGCCACCAATGCCTTATTATTATTATTATTATTATTATTATTATTATTGTAAATATGACATTTGTGAGTTCATTTTCTTAGCTATAGATCGAGACTTGGGTTGACACATACCAGTAACAAAGATTTAGGCTACTTTAAATGAAGAAAATGTCAGATGGCTACAGACTAACACCAGTATTTGGCAATATTAGCGTACGATTGTAAGAGGGTAGTCGATACTCAAAAATATTATGTTAACAAAATCCAAATCCATTAGCTTTTACTGATATGAACAAAACACTTGGCAAAGCCCGCGACCACATCTGCTTCATTTGAATCATTACTCGAGGACTGAAAGCAGAATGTCAGTAGGCCTACGAGTGTCCTGCACGTTAGGATGTTCCTACCTTTTTCTATTTACTATAGCATATTAGGCCTACACTGTTGTTTATTATCGGACATAGGGCTGGGCTCACCACTGAAAGCACACAACTTAGGCTCCACTGATTAGGATTGCATTTTCATAAAACAGACTACACTTCACCTATGGGACAAAGATTTGAAGAAAACAAAAACAAAAACAGTTATTCTTACCTGGGCTTCCAGCCCCTCCCTGTGCCTCCATGCAGCCCAGCCACAAGCGTCTGTTGTTCCCTACAGCGGCATCGGAGAGGAAAGAAAGAAGCCGGGATAACGTGAGACGAGACGGAGTGCGTCTGGGTGGGGCATGCATGTGACTGGTGGTCTGACACGACAGGTTCCCTACTAAACTGTCCTTTGTATCACGATCGGTTGTAAATATTACTACTTTTAGAATGAATGCCGGGTGGGCTCTAGTGCACTTGTTCTGCTGTTGCCTCCAGAGCTGTCTGTGCGGCACTGTCTCACAGAGCGCGCCACAGCACAGGGAGGGAGGGAGCGTTGTGGTGGAGGGACATGGATGCAGGATGCAGGATGCACATCTCCACCTCGGTTCATTGGGTTTTAAAACAACAACGTGCAACTACAACAACAACTACCAATGTGCAGCAACTACCAGTGTGCCAATGTGTGTGCAAAACCGAGGGTTTAGGGCGGTGTGGAGCTGACAGTCTGCCCCGACGCGACTGTGATCACAACGTATTACAGCCTAATAATAAGAAGATGAAGAAGAATGGTGGTGTAATGTATTAAATCTGCGATGTTAAATCCAGTCAGGCTGAGTGACAATAATACAGCCACTTTATGCGTTTTGTCATTATTCAATTCTATGTATAAAGAAACAAAATATCAAGAAAAATTGTTAGGCTACCATAAAGTAATGTATGTGGGCTACTCTTGGGTGAACCATTAAATAGGTGAAGCACTCCCTCTAGTGGCCAATTCTGAAACTGCAAATCTGAGATCAGTGAGAAAGTTAATGATTTAATTACATAATAGGGCTACTACACAAAATCACAAACAGACTACTGGGCATAGTTTTTAAATGCAGCTGCTTAAGTAACAACAAATAATGTATCGGACCAATCAAAACTAGTGTAACTGTTTTTCGCATTTTGCCTGTTTTGGCGTGTCTGAGCTGCCGTAGTAATGACAAACATTGACAAACAGCTGTTCTTCTGTGTTATATACTACACGCACGTGGAGGACGTCGCTCTAGAAAACCGCCTACGTGAGTTTTGAAGAACGAGGACTCTAGCGCGATGGACTCTGTGCTAAAAATACATTCGGGTTAGTGACACATATAAACACAATGCTTTGCTCTTTTTACAGCAAAGTTACCGCTACTGTTTTTCCTCATCAGACGCAACAAAAGAACAAATTCGTCAAAGGGTTTGGCGCTACATCGAAGAAAACAATCTGGCAAATTTTCCAAGACCTGTTTACAACAGAATACCAAATTTCAAGGTTTTCCCCTTTCATTTTCTGCACCATGATATCAGATGATAAGTTACAATGTATGCACCGAAGTAAAAGTTTTGTGTAGACAGTGTGAAAATTGTAACTCCTGGTAAAGGTGTGGACTGGTTAAACTAAACATAATGCATGGCTTCTTAACAAATTCTCATAACTTTCCCGTGTCCCTTTTTGACCAGGCTGCAGCTGAGGCCTGCAATAAGCTTACGGTCCTGCAGGAGTTCAAATCCAGCCAAACAGTCAAAGTTAATCCAGACAGACCTCAAGAGCAGGCGCGGTTCCTTACTCTGGAAGTAAGTTACAAACATGTTTCTGTGTTTTCTGACCAGGGTGCCTCCGCAGCCTGTACCAAAGTATCAGAACTCCAGGTCTTCACAAAGGCAGGGGAGGTAAAGGTGGACCCTGACAAACCTCTGGAGGGGGCCCGTCTGGTCATTTTGCAGGTAGCACCGCAAGAGTTAAACGAGATTTTGACGTGTTGTGTAATAATAAAAGGGACCATACTGTGGAAGAATGATCGGAACTGACATTAAGTATGATACAGTCTCTTGTATTTTGTAGTATTAGTATTCCATAAGTAATTTCAGGAGAAAAAAAATTGTCATTAGTTTAGAAATTACTTCACACTACATGTAACAAATCAGCAGAAAATATTCTTTAATTGTTACATAATATTCTCAGGCACAGAAAACATTATTGGTCCCTACTCCTCGCTTACGTACAGGCCTTTTCAACAAGATCACTCCACCTCCAGATGCCACCAAAAATCACCTTCGTATATGCTCTAGTTCACAGGTGTGTAATGTCAGAGCATTATAGCTATTATATGATTTACATATAAGTGACTTTTAACAGTTCATTTATACACCTTTAATCTTTGTTGTAGGGTGTGAAGGATTTCAGTGTACCTGTGGGTCTTGATGCTAAAATGAAGGTAGATCTTGTGGTTGTTGGCTCTGTTGCAGTGTCTGAAAAAGGTAAGCCCCCCCCCCCACACACACACACATACATACATACATACATACATACATACAACACTCTATTAAAGGAGTAAAAAACAAACAAACCTAACGTTAAAAATGTTAAAAGTAATTGAAAACTTCACACATCTCCATAATCAATCATGCATACATATATACTGCTCATGCTGCTGTGAGTGGCTTGTTTTGTTACAACATTAACATCAACTCTAAATGGCTATGAACTAAAATGAAAAGCCTTGCAGCCTTTTATCAGACGCTCACTGTGCCCAAGACCAACCCACTATTTAGTTGTTTAGAAACAGTATACCATAATGGCTGTTTATTACAGTTACAAATGACAAGAGGCAGAGAGTAAATGTCATGTTACAATAGTCTAGTAAGTTGTTAAATATGTGTACTGGCACAGGCTGCCTACTGGAACAGCAGCAGAAATAAGAGTAGGGGCTCTGTGTAATCAGAGCCATTTTGCTTGTTGTGGCATTTGCTGCAGCCTGCTCCCCATTTAAAAGGCCTTTCTACTCAAGACATTTTGAACTGCAATTGTTAAATCCCGGGGATAAGTGAGGCCGGAGTCTGGGAGGTGACCTGGAAATTCCTGGAATTAAATATCTAATTTAGGGGTTCTTGTTAAATGTATTACGCTGCTTATATGTGTGGTGATACAGCACTGATACACCAGTATTTAGCGGCAGAGTGATCAGTAGTTAGCCATATGATTACAACATATTACATTTACATTATGTGCTCTATTGACACATTTACATTACACATAACTCAAAATATTATGGGCTTTGAGACTAAAAGAGGTAACTGTCTGAGTATTTGCCCATGTTTTAACCACAGGTTTTCGTATTGGGAAAGGAGAGGGATATGCTGACATGGAGTACGGCATGATGGCCTCAATGGGAGCAGTTAATGAGTCTACTGTGGTGGTAACTGTTGTACATGACTGCCAGGTCAGTTTTATGTTTGACTTAGGTCATCTTAGTATAGTTTTCAAAATGGACATCCGCAAAACTGACAATTTATTTATATATGCCTCTAGACAGTGTGAATTTCAGATGTATTCTGATGATTCAATATTTAGGTGGTGGAAATTCCAGAGAGACTCATCGAGAGTCATGACCTGACAGTGGACTACATCCTCACACCCACCAGGGTTATAAAAACTGACTGTCAGCTCCCCAAACCACAAGGCATCATCTGGTCTAAGGTATTGTACTCAATAAAGTGTCCATTGGGTAGTTCTCTACAGATTTTGTACAGTTAGGTATTACCTTATGTTTTAACATAAAAAGCTTTTGTAGTGAAGTAATGTTAGATGCCATGAGAAGAACAGCAGAAATCATACATCGCATATTTTGAAACACTGCCCTCTCATGGCCACTCCCACAGCCTTCACAGACGATTGTGATGGTTCATATAATCAAATAGTCATTCCAAAGAACCAGTATTGTATCAGTCCAAAAAAATGTAAATTGTGTTGCACATTAGCTGCAAGTATATTAAAGTAATATAATTAAATCTGTACAATATTTTCTCATTCAAGATGAGGATATGTAATCGATGGACTGTGCACAGGAAATAGGTCTATGTTAATGACAAACCTCATGTATGGATACCAGTACTAGTTTCTTGAGACATGTGGTAAACAGGACCCAGTGAACTGTCAGACAGGAAGGCCATGTCTGAGCATCAAAGGCTCCTCTGCCCAGTCAGGGAGACTCTCAGGGGCAGGAGAGCGACAGGTCACTGCTCGAACAATAGTCCTGCATATCCTTTACACCACTGCTCACTATCAAAGGCTGCCAAAGCACTTGAAGACACAACAAATCAAAACAGGAGCCTTTATTTTTAACCTCTCAGGAAGTGAAATGTCCTGCTCTGCTGTACAGATCGGGCAGTTCTGTTTCTTTTGTAGTTTTGTAGTTCATTACTGAGTTTTCATTATCATACTTGCAGTGCAGTTGTTTTGAAGGCTCTTTTGTGTGCAGCTGGACATGGAGAAGTTGGAGAAGATACCAATCCTAAAGAAGCTTCGCGCTCTTGAGGAGCAGTCAGGGAAGGTTGTCACTCTGGGGGAGGTGCCAGCTAAAGCTGAGTCCAGTCAGGCCAAAAAGCCAACCACATGGGCGCCGAGACAGAACTCACATAAAGATGTGGAGGAGGAACCCAAACAAGCTCCCAAACATGAGCAGGGAGCAGTGCCTCAGCAGAGGAGCAGGCAGAGAAAAGTGAGAGTGACAAAAGCAAACAAAGAAGATGGTGCAGGAGTGAGTGAAGGAGAAACCCGTAAAGCAAAAGCTGTTGATACACAGAGAGAAAAGGGTTCGGAAGAGCCCAGTGGTACCCAGTCATTTCGACCTAAGTTCCCAGACACAGTGACCAGCCTGTATCTCGGGGGTATCCCACCCGAGCTGCGTGTGAGTGAGCTGAAGACTATGCTGCGAGAAAAGGAGGCTGTCCCACTGAGGCTCACCTGGCAGGGAGCTCAGCACAGGGCCTTCCTAGACTACACTGACCCCCAGGCAGCAGGGCAGGCCCTCACGGCCCTGCAGGACCTCACTGTGAACGGGTGCGAGCTGCAGGTGGAGCTGGCCAAGAGCCAGAGAAAAACCAGGAGAGGGCCACGCCACTCCAAACCAACCCAACCGGAGACTAAAACTACCAACCCAGAAAAACAATGCTTTAATAAAGACAATGAAAAGTAGAACCCCCCCAAGGTCTCCATAATTTTATGTTAAACAAGCCATAATAAGAAGACTTTGCAGGTTTGACTTAATATTTCATTCATCAAATTAAAGAACTCTTTTTGTATGCATACCATAATATATGAGATGGGTTTCTTCAAGGTGTTAAACAATATATTAGTTATTAAGTATAATATTGTCTGTTAGCAGGAGGGCAAGTTATTCAAAACTTTCATTTCAGTAAAACAAGTTAAATCATAATTTCGGACTGTGGAAAAAATGCACTCTTAACACAATATATAGTACTGCTAATTTTATGTCTTGATCAAGGTCAAACATATGCTTTTGAATGTTCACTTTTGTATCCCATTTTTGTTTTGTTAACAAAAACTAAATGGAGAAAAAAAAAAACTGAATAACATTACTCTGATTGTCTCTCTTACCTGCTAGAATTGTTGCTTTAAAGCGCTGACATTTCTCTGGAGTCTTTGCAGTGGAGAACAAGCGTGCAGCGTGTCTGTCTGCATGTAGCAGGCCAGGCCTGGGTCTGGATCTGTCAGTGTGGGCCATGTTGGGGAACAGCTGTGGAGCGTCCCATGCCTCTGCCACTCTCAAACTCACTAATGTCCGGGGCTTGTTCTGATCAAACTGCCATTCTGGCTCAGTGGCATTTTACTAGAGTTCATGCCGTGGTCATGTCATTGGAGAGTAATGCTGTACACACTAGACACCACGGACCCATGGATTCATATAAGCTACAATCACAAAATCAATACACACATACACGAGGTCGTAGTTTAGTATAGCATACATGAACCTACAAAGGTTCATGTGCTATGAATTAGCTGATTACAAATTTCAGTCACACAAAAACTATTTTTAATATTGAGGCACATTAACATCATCATTCATTAGAGCATATCCTAGGCAATACAAAATGTATATCTATTTTTTTTTATTTTAAAAAAGTTATTTGACATATTTTTTTTCATCTGCTTTTAGTTGTTTGTGCTATTACACTACGTGGTTTTTTTTTTTTTTTTTTTTTTTTTTTTTGGAAATAGCAATTTGACTACACTTATATTGTATATATTATTATAACTACTTTTTTGTTGAGCCTCATTTTATTTTATTCTCGTCTTGTGGACTACAATTTCAGAAACCATGTATATCAGAATTACTTGTAAAATTCTAAATAAAGCAAAAATGAATCCTGCATTTTTTTAAATAGAAAAACAAAGAGCAATGACTGCTGTATTGGTGGATTTGGACTTTAACAGTCCAGTAGATATTTTTATTCTCAATGAATCATTATAAAGCCTGAGTCCTCGCTTTAGACCCCATCCTCTATTTTCTAACATTACAGTGCTGCAAGGAATTATTTTATAGACTACAGAATATTTACCACAAACAACAACAGTGCTTACAATATATACTTCATTTTCATTATAAACAATTTTGCGCGTTCTGACAAATATTGCCAATAAACCTTTGCCAATCTAGTTAAAATACGCAGGCCCAGAATAAATAATTCGCGTTTATGGGTTATTCAAAAAGTGCCTTCATAATCTGTACACAGTCTGTAGGACATGCAACGTTATGTAGCGTCCAAGTGTTAACTCCAAGGAGAGTCTGCATTTGAAATGTTGACGATAAAATATAGTAATAAAATGAAAATGGACATTTACAATTGTCTCAAAATGAAGGTGGACAGCTGGTTTTCCAGAATTCGGTACCAAACAGCAGCAATTTTACAGTTTCTGCTCGCTGAAGTCAAGGATCATGACAATATTATTATTACTATCATATTATTACAAAATAAATGGCTGCGTCTGTATTTTGGCCGTGCGTAAAACGTGTAGTCCTTGCTACTCCACGGCCCGTCTTTCAGTGGTTTCTTGGCACAAATTTGCCTTTCTAATGGTTTCCACGTAGCCTATGTGATCACATCACGCATGGTTTGATGTCCTGGTAGGAGACCTGCTGGTGGTGGTAGTACGAACCGCTGCCCGGGGAGTGCATGGCCGAGGACGTCATGGCGTTAAAAGAGAAGACGAACTCCTTTCGGTCGCACATGCTTGGAGATTGGGAATGGTAACGCGGGATACCTGCAAAAAGACACAACAGGCCTATTGTTAGTTAACAATTTATAACTTGGAAGTGGGCCTAGTCCATAACTGGAAACTGAATTTTTTAAAGATTAGGCCTATATTACATTATATTCAGCACAAACATATTCCAATTCACTAGCATATTATTGCTTTCAGTGCATCAGGAAAAGTCAATTAGTCTATAATAAATTATGAAAAGGACAATTATGAATTTGGAGCTGATTGTTTGCATGTTTTGGAAGAAGCATACTTTTTCTAAATTACATTTTAAATGCCCAATGTGATAAAATGTTACAAAATTATTCTGAATCAAGTTTGCCTTTTCAAAACTATTTTTGTTTTAAGTGCATTTACTCCAAATCAATTTAGTCTGCTCTATTAAGATAGTGAAAAGTGGGAGGCGGGTAGGGTCTCTAATTGACAGTGGCTTTAGTTGCACGCGAGTCCCGAAGGACTCTGGGCCTCAGGGCAAGGCAGTCTCAAACTGCGCACATGTTTTTCTTGAGCACAAAGATTGGCACGAACTCCACGCTCCACTATCCTTCTGTTTGAGTTTATTTGACAAAAACTGTTTTTCGACAGCAGTGCAAGTTACCCTATATGTTGTAGGAGTGACTGAGGCCTACCTTGCAAATCTGTGGTGCTGTGTCCATTCTGATGCAGGTATGGCTGTTCGAGAGAATGTGTGGGTAGACTTGGCTGCAGAGGGTTCGTTCCCGGATTACATGGAGACAGGGGCTGTTGTTTAATGTACGAAGCTCCGTTATTGAGAGAAGCGGACGGCGTGGGGGCCCACGCTGATGCGGAGCTGGAGTACACCGGGTGCGGCTCCATGATGCCTCCGCTCGCGAGCAAAGGAGATGCTGAGTTGTCGTGATGAGGGTATTCACTCCCCGTGGATCCTGGGCAATTCCCCATATAAGAGTGTCCACTGTTGGTCGACAAATGCGACATCGAATGACCGGACAACGCCATACCTTCCATGTTACCCGCCAAGTGGCCGTTCATCATGCCAATGCCACTGTCCAGTGACAGGCTATTAGGGGGACAGGACAGGCCCCCGCCGCCGCTCTGGAAGTTGTATGACTCCGGGATGTGGTTGAAACCCAGGCCGTTCATCATGCTATACATGGGCTTAAGCGCCTGGCACTTACGTCTAAAACCTCTGGGTCGTCTTCTAAAGGAGCCCTCTTCAAACATGAACTCACTGGCTGGGTCAATAGTCCAGTAGTGGCCTTTCCCTGGCCGACCTAGCCCTTTGGGTAGCTTTATGAAACATTCGTTCAGAGACAAGTTGTGACGCACGGAATTCTTCCATCCTTGGTATGAGCCTCGGAAAAACGGGAAACGACTCTGTAGGAACTGGTAGATTTCACTTAGTGTGAGGCGTTTGGTGGGGGAGCTTTGTATTGCCATTACGATCAAAGCGATGTACGAATAGGGGGGTTTCTCCGGTCTACGAATCCCCGCGTTCGTCTTTTTGGTTTTTGTCGTGGAGGACGCGCTTTCCATCACCGCCGTTTGAGCGTGGTTTTTTTCAGGCACAGACATTGGGCTGCTCTGAGCAGGAGTCTGTGCTGAAGGCTGCTGAACTTCTGCCGTCATTAGAAAAGCTGGTGCGCACGGGGTACAAAACGACTCCACTTCCACAATTTCGATACTTTAAAGTGATTCAAATCCAAAATGTAAGACTGTTTAGTTTTACGCACGCGTGATAGAATCTCGACTTCTTCCTGACTGAATCCTAGGACCTCTCTTTGCTTCAAGTTCCAAAAGTGAAAAAGGAGCAGAACAGGAGCCACTTTCCACTGCACCTATGATGTTGTCGTGCGTCCCCCCAGCTCCGTTTTTACTTATCTGTTGCCATCAGCGCACTGGGAGCTGGATGTCTTGGCCGTCCTCTTGTTGGGACCCGCCCAACTCCCTCCTACTCCAGCGGTGGGCTGTTAGCGTGCGCCTCTGAACCCAAGCTCACTTTTCAGCCAAATCCTTTTTTTCTAACCTCCATGTACTTCAAATTATTATCTGTTATCCAAGATACTCTGAACATTGAAGGTACACAGTGAGACGGCATGGTAATACTTGTAGGCTTATTAGTCTGAAAAACATATTTAATGTTTATTAATCAATTCAATAGCATACTTTTTTACTATGATACCACCACACGGTCTTACTAAGAAATTAATGTGGAAGGATAATTATTCCAGACTCAAATCCTCTGGTCTGAAAAAGAGAACGAACACCATCAATAATTATTCAATTCGACGAGTGTATGCTCCAAACACGTGTGCTGAAGAGAGACAGGAACATGGGCAGGATGTTTATTCTGGGCAATCTAAACATTTTGCTTGCTCTTCTTTAAATATAATACCAAGCAAAGCACTGTTAGATAGGCTAATATCCAATCGAGTGTGATACAGTTGCCCTCATGCAGTTCAACAAGATGCTGGACACGTTTTTGCACAGGAATATTGTTTGTTTAATGAAGTCATAATATTTACGCAGGACGCGGGAGGAGAGAGGTGCAGCACGGCTGAGAAGTGCGCACTCAGACTCGGACTGGGACGAGCGACGAGCGTCTCCAATGGCTTCTCAGTCTGAAGTAAGTTCATTTTTATTGTTAACTCTATTGTGTTAATGAACAGCCACCAGAGTGTAGAAAATCTAACATTATAAATTTGCTTGTCTGCTTCTCTTAGAAGACTACGATCTCACTAAAATTGTTGTTGTCCTTGTTATTGGCTCATTACATGACTGACACGCGTCTGCCATATAAGTGATCAAGTTTAGTTATATCTATCAAAGTATAGGCTATATAAGACATCACTGGTCGTTTTTGGTGTCTCTATGGTAACGTTTATAGAGTCAAGAACAAAAACTGTTTGCTTAATTATGAATAAAAGTTGAGTGGATTTGGCCAAATAATAATAATAATAATAATAATACAAATCAAAAATAAAAATGCATACTTTTCACAAAGTCTTTAAATAAATCTACAGTATGGTTTTACTCGGTGAACTCTCGGCCACTCGCCCGCACTGACATTTATCAGAAAACAGCAGACCACCCAGAGCGCACCAGGGGCACGCGCGCTCCAGTCCTCTCTCTGCCTACTGCCTTTCATTAGCGCCAATGACTTCACTCTATTACACCGCTTTCTGCCCTCACGCGCTCCTTCAGTCCGCGGCACAACTGGTTGATTTTTCTGTTTGAAATCACAACTTTGAAAATATTGTGCATAATCATATTAGCAGATAACGGTCTGATTATTTGCGCTTTAAAAATATTAAGATACGATAGACTTTTCCTTTTAATACTCCAGTTTTTTTTACCTAAAAAGCTGATGAGTATTTGCGTTTTACACCGGAAAGATCTTTCTAAGCACGAACAATTTGTTTAAATACAATGACCATGCAGGATGGAGAATAAATTCGAGGCCTCAAACCTTTCTTTATCTCAGACGGTGTCCTGCTTTTTCCATGACGTCTCATTATGAAATATTTGACAGCACTGCGTCCTCAGGAATGCGGGACACTTAAGTGAAGGTGCAGCACGCAGCCTTTCCGGGATGTAGCCTATCATTGCCCTTTTTTGAATCGATGTGGATAAAAAAGGAACATGACCTTGTAGGCCTATAACGTTGATAGTCAGGCCTAACTGTCTCATTAAGATAATCTTTCTGTATATTTTGTAATGTAATAGAAGTATATAGGCTATATATAAAAATCAAAGAATCTAGATGCAGAGTTGGAGAGTTAGATTTCTGTTAATAGCCAATAGCCTCATTTTTCCAAACATCCATGGTCACAGGTGCACTGACATGAGGCATTTTTACTCAAATACATTTGACTTGAAAGCCCTATTCTTATAAATAGACCTTCTCTTTGTTAAATTGACAAGACGGATAAAAAAAAATCGTATATATGCTTATATTTCAAATGGAAATAAAACTCTGTGATTTGCGCCACTGTCGCTAAACAGATTTAGGCTCTAAATCTAAACAAATCAAATGGGCCTAGCCAAATGCATACAATTTTACGTTGTTAAAAGTCATAGACCTATAACTATTTTTTTCTGATAAAATAGTGTAACGACATTATCCTAAATCGTGAGAAAAATCTGTTTTTCAGTGTTAAACTATACAAGCGAGGTGAGCACTTGAGAAGCGCGAACAGGCCCGGTACCTAAAGTCGCTCTGATTCTCGTTGGTTGTCGCGTTAATTAAAACCAGTATGGGTTGGAGGGAAGCTGCCCCTCATCACTTTCTACACGCTGTAGGTGGCCGTGTATATTTTCCTTTAAGTGATGTTTATGTGAATGAGAAGACATGGGATTGCAAGCAGACCCCTGATTGCGCGTGCTGCGTCGCAACATTTGAAGTCTTTTTGATGGGCACCGCCCTCGATCATCCAATCAGCTGCGGCACGAGCGAATGATGGCCTTTTAATTCCCCTGACAACGACCATGCTGCCACTATGAAGACGCAAATGTTGCGATGTGCGCTGTGTTTGAGTAGCCTACAGGTGTAGACTATATAGCAAGTTGTCACTGAATTCAGGTCTGTAGTAAATAACACACAAAACAATGACCTGTACGGTCATTCTTGCCTAATAGCCTACTGTATTCTTATAATAAGACAACGATCACAGTACCAGTTAAATCCCAATCGCGATTTAGACACATGCTGTTATGAGAAGCGATTCCCCGCTGCGCACTTTCACACGCGCTTCCCGCAGGCGCCTCTCCCACGAGAGCCATAAGGGCACATACGAGAAAGTCCAGTTTCTGAGTGTCCAGCCTTTTTCGTTTCGTTGTTCTTATTTTATTTATTGTCTGTCCTCTGGTGACCACTGTCGGGAGCGCGCCTTCACATTTTAGCACACATAACATTCTTTCTGGTTGGTTTTGTTACCGCACAGTTTGACATGAAGGACATGCATTGGCGAGCGTCAGATTTGTCCAGTTTTCAACAAATTCCACCTCGCCAAAATGTGGTCATCTAGTTCTTAGGGACTTTCTCCATTACTTCAAAATACCAATAAAAACAAGAATCTTCTTTACTAAATATTTGTAACTATAATTTCCTAATTTAAATATCTCACATAGGCCTATATATTCATAGTCTCCTCAGTTAAATTTTCATGACATAAAATATTTAACATTGCTCAAAGAATTGACTTTATTCTGATATCAGAGTTAATTTTAGGTATTTTTTAAAGTTAGCAACAAGGTTTCAACAAAGGTTCACCTTTAAACTTTTAATGTTTTAAATTAAAGATATTCTCATAATTTAAAAATAAATCATTATCTCTCTCTTGTGTTTATATCTATTAAATATTATTTTTAAAATGGCCCTGCCATTTTATGACATGGACAAGAGTATTAGTCATTGGATGTACTTTAGGCTGCGAGCCTCAGCCCCTCCTCATGCCCAATTTAATATACTATACTGTCCTGTCAAATAAAGGCCAGCCCCAAATAAATGTGTAAAAAAGAGTTTAAACTTTGCTCTATGCCCCCCCTTGTATCTTGTGGGATAACTGGATCCTGGGCATGGGATGGTTCCTTTTGTGTGCCCAGCACTCAGATGTGCGAGGCCTGATGATAGGTCAGTCAGGGTCTTATCATGCAATAAGGTTGACTGGAGCAAGATTGACGTAGAAATGCATTCATAACAGAAGAACAAGAGAAACCACAGTCAAAGAACAAGAGAGGACCACCAGCTCATTGCGGGTCATGTGCTTTGATACAGCTCATGGCAGTTTGATGGTGGCACAGGTTTACACTGTACATACATGTTTACATCAGCGACACACTGTTTACGCGCAGCCCACCATCTCTCTCTGTCTCAGCTCTGAAGGGGGATTTTCCTGTGGCAAACTTGCTATGGAAAAAAGTAATTAAGAAATTCCCAAACACTGCACCACAATGGGAGATATCGTTTGTGCAATGTGTGTTCCATGTCTCTTTGCAGTTTTTGTCTGGAATGGGTTTTTGGCTATTTTTAATCTGGACCCAACCTTACCTACCCACCTACAGACGGACCGCAAAGTGAAAGAAGGGGAGGGGGTATTTGAGGAGGTTTGGTAATTGCCTATTGTGCAGTTCATACTCCTCTGCTTTGGCATAAACAGATTTGGGTTGTTCGCAAGCAGATACCGATATCACTGAAGTAGCTTTCCAAAAAGACTATGCCTGTATGTGGGAACGATGGGATGCAGTGGTCAGAATCAGTGAGGAATGCTTTTGGGATGGTAACTGGATTCGCCTGTAATGCCTAAGCTCTCTGCAGCGGGGTGGGAAAAAGGCCCGCAGTATTTCCTGAGCACAGGGGGGTCCAAGCCAAGCATCACACGCATTGGGCATCGAGTGACATGTGCTCTGCCAGTCTCCAACCCAAATGACCCCAAAGAGGCAAAGACAGGAGAGCTGAGGGAGAGGTGCAGGAGGCGGGGTGTGCCCAGTGCCATGGAGGAAAAACAGGGCAGATGTTCCATCGCAGACTCCTCCATTTGTCGCTTTGTTTCTACTAATCTGACAGGAGCAGTCACAGTGGCATCGCAGCTCTGTTCCCTGTCTGTGTAAAGCATTACAGAAAGCTTTGTGTTATTAATCTGATATTGTTTGCATAGCTGCACTATCATCGCTCATGTCACAACAGCCTTTGATGTACAGCATTCTACGTTTTTTTAAAAAGATACTGAAAAGATCATTTTAAAAATTTAAAACCTGAAAAGCATCAAGGTTTTTTTTTTTTGAAACGTACACTGAAATGCAACAATGAATCTACAAGAATCACTACACAATTTTCCAATAACATAAATATTTTTCTTTCAATTGTTTTTGAAACCCTTTTTCAGTTTAATTTTTAAAAGTCCTATTAAAGTGTTAATGTCCTGAAGAAAATCCTTGTATTTGTTTACAAAAGTTGTATTCCACCTGCTGCCAGTTCCCCTCAGTCCCCCTCTATTCTTCTGTTTTAGAACAATGTCCCAGAAAGAGCCAGAGGACAATGTGATTGATGTCTACATGGATGATTTCAGAGGCCTGAAAGGAAGCGGCCATCCTCCCTTCCACCTTTATTTATAGGCAGATCGCAACTTTATTTCACAAAGAAGAGATCAGACCAAACAAATCATTATAATCTGAATTTTCTTATTAGAAAAAAATAACAGCTACGGATGGACAACTTTTGTGGCTATTGCTCTAAAGTAGTGTTTCTTTCAGACTGGCGCTGACTGGACTGGGCAGACTTTGGCTGTAGGAAGGCGTGAATTCTTCTGCAAAATGGAAGATGTCTTAGCAGGAGACAGACTGCGGCCCCCCACCCACTCAGCAGCCGCCGGTGACCCCTGACCTCTTCATGTGTTTATATCAGATGGTGGAAGTGAGAAATAGTGATGAGTCACCGGGCTCTGTGTTTACACTCTGGAGTCACGCAAGGAAGGAAATCAGGCCCGGTCTGGTGGCGAGGTGAGGAGGAGGAGAGGAGGAGAGGAGAGCAGCAGCACCGGCTTCACTGCGGCACATTCATTATGTCATATCAGCTCCGGAGGCTGTGCAGCTACAGACCTGTGCCGTCTGAGTCTGGACCATGCATCAGAGGTTATTGGTCAAATCATGCAAAACACAACTAGAGTCTTTCACTTGAGGGCCAGGGATTTTGTGAGAACATTTAAACCATTCACCAAGTTAATGCCACTGGCTAACACCTTAAATACATACACTAGTCTCCTTTTGAAAATGCAGTTTAATAAAAAAAAATAAAAAATTGATGGAATTTGTTGAAAACTGGATTTATATATATATAGTTGTTTTTTATTGTAAAGGGACATTGACAGTCAAATTACAATTAAAATTAATTTATAAGAATTTCTTTACTTTAACATAATATAAAATCTATCCAATAATACTAAAGTATAAATAGATTTAAAGTACAATAAATTTCATACAGTTATATATTTTTTCACATCAACACACTTAACTTTTACGTTATAATTTATTTGATATGGGCACAAACCTTAAATATGTATGTTGCATAAATTATTACTTAAACCCATGGCAAACCAGATCAAAATAGTGTATTAAATGTATTTGTATAAATATTTGTGATGTATACAAAAAATATTGTAACACATTTTCTTGTTATACTGGATTAGTGGCATTAAAAAAAAACATTATTATTTGAATGAATATTAACCTCTAAACTGTTAGATTTCTTCATAATCATGCTTTTTGATTTAATGCCATACCAGATAAACTATAGGTCATTGTATATACGTGTTTATGGTCTTTTACACAGACATGTTTATGACTTACAAAAATAGAAAATTCAATTTCCCAATGTTGTTTTGCTGAGAACTGTTCTCTAGTTACTGTTGTGTACATAAAAGTGACACGTTCTTTCTTCTCCTCATTACACTGGTGTTAGCATCTTCATTGTCACCATTGTACAGCAGATATCGGATTGCACTGCTCCACGGCTAGCCGCGCCACAACACTCTATAGTTCTTATTTCTTTTATCTCTTCTAAATGCTACATGCCATCAGTATAGGTATATTTATCACTGTATTATTAACTTATCAGACTGACCACATCCATCAACCAGATATTTAGTTCCAGCTAACTCAGGGCTTCAATGAAATGGTTTTATATTTGCTTATTTTTGTATTTTTCCATCTGCTACTTTACTGTCTTTACCTCATCATCAGAATCGCTCTGTAGGGAATAGGTTTAATGTAGTTTTTACGTAGACGTCCAGTATGTCCTACAGTAAAGCTCTCCCAGAGTTCGTTAATAACCTGGCTGAGTGTATTAGAGGTAAACAAAGTCAAAGTGGCCGTAATGCAGAGAATGTCCTGACTGCAGACAGCGTATTGGGCCTCTGCAGACTCATGTGATGGATAGTCTCTGGTAATGGCGCATGGATTTAGGATTTTTAAAAGCTGAACATGGGCTGTTACTATGGAGACAGGCCCGAGGAGAGGCGACAGATGTTTCATGTTCGTCACTCATCATTTATTCGTTCAAAATAAGCTTTGGAATCTAAAAATGGTACAAGTTAGCACTTTATGTTTTAGATTTTAGTCAATATCATCTATGTGTTATTAGTCAATACTTACTTGGCTGAGATTTATTTGATTTTAAATTAATTTATTTTATTAAATCATAGAAAGAGTATAAAAGCTACCATAGTTGATGCAAACAAAGTGTAATGTAAAGAGTAGTAGACAAAAAAATTCAGTAATAGACAAAAACATAAACAAATACTTTCTGAAGGGCTAAAAATACAATGACAAAGGAAATAAATGTGTAATTATTTTTTGTTATGTTGGGCAGAAATGTGAAATTCTAATAAATCCTTAAAGACGAGCTGGATTTGAATAGTATTTTTTATTTGCAGTTTATTGACCTGTTTGTAAAATGTATATCATGTTTATCAAAGTATTCAATTTCATAGAAAGTGGCAGCTTTGTTGGACTACAAATTGCTGTGCCCAGCAATTACTATACCTCAATTTTACAGCGTCACAACTCAAGTCATCTTCATTCAGAGTTTTGTGCCTTGCCTTCACATGACATACTTTTATTTACAAAAAATATTTGGTATTAAAAAAAAAAACAAGGATTATCTGGTGAGTAGGTGGCAACAGCGGACTGGGTTAGCCATATCTTCATTCAAGGCACATGGTTCCACTTGGACTTCTGCTAATTCCAGGGAATCAATCCTAAATGACACCTTTAGGATACACAGAGGGCTGGCCTGTGATGCAGATTGGTGGTGGTTCGTACATGAAAGACAGTCAAATAAATAATGTACAGTGGTGAACAGGCAGGGCTCTTCTGTCCACACACTACAACCATAATGGGACACATACCAGGACCAGAGCAGCACCGAGATGAGTGCGCCTGCTGCTGTTTTCACTGTTACTATAGAAACAAACTCCTGCCCACAATTTCTGAATATAGATGTGATTAATATTCATCTAAATATATTTGTAAATGTAATTAAATTGTTGAAGGATGAGCGAATTTGTCGTTTGTCTAAATGGTCTACACGGTGATAGGGTTAAATCCCATATCATTAACAGTGGCTCCCAGTATCAAATGACTGTTTAAGCTCATCCAATCAGTGCCTTCATCAGCTGCTGTAGTCTGCACTGAGCCTACAGTAAGCATAGTAATGGTCATTTTATACAGGACTGTGTCATCCTGGCACTGATCAGACAGGGAGGTCCATCTGGCCATAACTGTTCTCTACTGGGACAATGTACAAAAATTCATCTTGTATTCAATTTATACAGTGGATCTATATTAGACTAATAACATTGTACACATAGGGAAACAAAACCACTGTGCTTATACTTAAGATTCTTATGTACAGACCTCTAGTTGTTTCATATATGGACAGAAGTCTGTACATAAGAATCACAAATATAAGCACAGTGGTGGTTTTCATATTCCAGAATATAATTATGCCATGTTCCCAGGTGGAGGCAGGAGCCAGATTTTCCTATTAATAACATTGTACTTTCTGTTGAAATATTGAAAAGGTAAATTCACAAATGTTTAACCTGATCATTTCAAACAGTGACTGGACCCAAGAACTCATTGGATTACAACAGAAATTAGCAATTTAACTATATTCATTTTAGCTGTCTTTATTAAATATTATTGGCTCATAAAATGTTGTGACGTAATCTGAAATCCATAAATACAGAAGAAACTAAACTAAGAACTAAAACTACTGTGCTGTTTACATTTGACAATCTGACACTTACCCTACTTCGGATCACTGAAAATGACCATTTCTGAAATAGCTAAAAATAGTTGCATGTAGATGAATGTACACAATATTATGTATTTATTCAAACGGCTTGTGCAGAGTTTTGAATCATGAATGAAGAACATGTATCAAAATGATAGCACATCCAGTTAGTCCCTTATCTCACACTGTTGCTGGGCCATAACAGAGGCTGTCTGGGACAGACAGTTGTTTTCTCATGGCTCTCACCCTACAAAATATCTTTTAAAATGTAAAGGAAATATTATTCAGTAGCCTACAATGTGTTTTTTTTTTCTTGAAGTAGAAAAATGGGGTCAAATGCAGGCAGCCAAAAAAGAAACAGCACAAATAATAATAATAATAATAAAAAAACACACACATAAAAATAAATCCCCACCAGACAGAGAGATTGAGACTTAACTGCTGTCTCTTACTGATAGCCTGATTATCAGGGTTTTGTCATTGGTGCCAGTGAGATAATTTATTCTGCTCCACTCCCGTCTAATACGTCTCAAATCTGCCCCAGAGGTCTGCCTCTGCTGTTCGACCCCGCAGGTCCTTATTCAGGGTCTTACACCTCATACGAACTTTAACCTCTTGCAACATCAACACAACAGGACACACACTTCAACAATATTTACTCCCTTAAGTTTGGCCATTCACAACATTTTGTTTACATAAGATAGGGATGCACAAAACCAAAGCAAACACTAAAATCTTATTGCAGTATAATGAATGCCTAATTACTTTTGAAAGCGATGTTCCTAATGCCATACAATAACCTAATTCAATTATATTATAAATATTTAATTAACATAAAAATTAAGATTTCCTGTTATAAAATTTCAACAAAGTCTCTCAAAAACCATTGAAACATAACATAACATAGTACAGAATAGTAGTATAGAATCTACTTGACACTTGGGTTACACTTTAACTACATCTTAATTAGCCTAATAAAGTATGAATGAGACTGTACTCATAATGAACCATAAGTTTATTAATAGGCTATTGAGAATGAAAATTTGTATCTACTTAATTAAGGGGTTCGGAGTTAGAGTATTATTTAGCCCAATCAACTCACAGCTTATTATAGATTAAGCCTTTCTTTATGCTTTAATAAGGCCAGTTAGGCATACTTTAAGTGTTAGAGCCTTAAAGTTGTGCAGCTCTAATACCTGCCGTCTGCAATGTTTAAGGAGTGTGTGGCCACCAGAGCTGCAGTGTGACCCAGGGGTTGAGGGTGATAAGACCTCCATAACTCTCCTTTATCCCACTGCTCATTATCAGGCCCAATCCCAGCAGCTTTAACCTGCGCCTGGAGGCCTTATGGGGCTCCAGATGGGACATCCCACAGCTACATTAAAGATAAAAAAAAAAAAATATATATATATATATATATATATATATATATAACTATGGTTAAAACTATAGTTATATATATATATATATATATATATATATATATATATATATATAATTTTTTTTTTTTTTTTACTGATTGGTGAAGTTTATATATTTTCTTCCTGATTGGTCTAGAGAGGTCCATAACTGTAACATTGCAACCATAATGTTAACAAGAGCCAAAACTTGTCTAAATCACTAGTTATTATTAGCCTAATAAATAGTTAAATATTTTTTACTAGACTAATAAAAATGTAAACTTCTGTATTTTGTTAAATAATAATTTATATATTATTATACTTATACGTATACCTACACGTTTGTACTTTTCT